TGTCTATCTTTTTTTTTTTTTTTTCAGAAAGCTAGCTCTTACTTTCATTCATCTTTTCTGTTGTGTTTTTAGTTTCTATTTCTTTTATTTCTGCTCTGATCTTTGTTATTTCCTGTATTCTAACTTTGGACCTCATTTTTCTTCTTTTTCTAGCTCCTTTAGGTGTAAAGGTAGGTTGTTTATTTGAGATCTTTTTAATTACTTGTCAGTATTTATTACTATGAATTTCCGTCATAGAATTGCTTTTGCTGTATCCCATATTTTTTGGTATGCTGTATGTCCATTTTCATTTGTCTCAAGTAATTTTTAAATTTTCTTTCGATTTCTTCTTTGACCCATTATATGTTTAGTAGCATGTTTAATATGCACATATTTGTGAATTTTCCAGTTATCTTTTTCTAATTGTTTCTAATTTCATATCATTATGGTTGGAAAAGATACTGCTTTGATTTCTGTCTTCTTAAATTTATTAAGATTTGTTTCATAGCCTAACAGATGATGAAAACTGGAGAATATTGTTTGCTTGACAAGAATGTGTATTCCGATGCTGTTGGATAGAATGTTCTCTAAATGTCTGTTAGTCTGTCTGATCTAACATATAGTTTAAATCCAGTGTTTCCTTACTGATTGTCTGGATGATTTATCCATTGTTAAATATATTGAAGTACTCTATTATTGTGTTGCTATTTCTCCCATTAGGTATGTTAGTATTTGCTTTATATATTTAGGTGCTCTCATGTTGCATGCATTTTTTATCATTGTATAATGACCTTGTTTTTCTCTCATTACAGTCTTTGGCTTAAAGTCTGTTTTGTCTGATATAAGTATTGCCACCCCTGTGTTTTTGGTTTCCATTTGCATTGAATGTCTTTGTTCATTTTTTCATTTTCAAGTCTGTATGTGTCCTTAAAGCTGACGTGAGTCTCTTGTAGGCAGCATATTTTGGGTCTTACTTTTTAATCCACACAGCCACTTTATGTCTTTGATTAGGTAATTTAGTTCATTTACATTTAAAGTAATTATTTATAGGTATTGACTTACTGTTGCCACTTTGTTAATTGTTATCTAGCTGTTTTGTAATTTCTTTTTTCCTTTTCTCTTCTTTTGCTCTTTTCCTTTATGATTTGATGGTTTTCTATGGTGTTATAGATTCCTTTGTCTTTACTTTTGGTGTAACTACTTTAGGTTTTTGCTTTTTGATTACCATGAGGCTTATATAAAATGTAACAGTCTATTTTTAGCTGATAACAGCTCAAATTTGAACATATTCTAAAGCTCCACATTTTTACTCTCTACCCCCTACATTTTTTGTCTTCGATGTCACAATGTACATCTTTTTATCTTCTGTATTCTTTAATGAATTATTATAGTTACAGTTATTTTAATACGTTTTTCTTTTAGCCTTCACCCCAGATGTATAAGTGGTTAACTACTTCCTTACAACATTAGATTATTCTGAATTTAACTATATGTTTACCTTTACCAATGAGATTTATACTTTTATATATTTTCCTGTTATTAATTAGTGCTTTTTCTTTCAGCTCAATTAGTCTCTTTAACATTTCTTGTAAGGCTGGTCTAATGGTGATGTAGTCCTTCAGCTTATGCTTGTCTAGAAAATTCTTTATCTCTTCTTCACATCTAAAGGACGACTTTGCCAGGCAGAGTATTCTTGATTGGCAGCTTTTTTCCCCCCAGCATTTAGAACATATCGTACCACTATTTTCTGGCCTACAAAGTTTCTGCTGAAAATTTTGATGTCAGTCTTATGAGAATTCCCTTGTAAATAACAAGTTATTTTTCTCTTGCTGTTTTTAATAGTTTTTTCCTTGTCTTTAACGTTTGACAATTTAATTACAGTTGACTCTTGAACAACATGGCTTTGAACTGTGTGGGTCCACTAATATGTGGATTTTTTTCAATAAATACTGTAGATATATTTTCTCTCCTTATGATTTTAGTAACATTTTCTTTTCTCTCACTTACTTTATTATAAGAATACAGTATATAATATAAATATATGCATCATTTAACTGTTTATGTTATCAATAAGGCTTCTGGGCAACAGTAGGCTATCAGTAAAGTTTTCAGGGAGTCAAAGTTATACACAGATTTTTGACTGTGCAAAGGGTCAGCATCTCAATCCCTGCACTGTTCAAGGGTCAACTGTGCAATGTGTCTTGGTGTGAGTCTTTTTGGATTCATCTTCTTTAGAACTCTCTGGGCTTCCTGCATCTGGATATCCATTTCATTCCCCAGGTTAGGGAAGTTTTCAGTTTCTATTTTTCAAGTAAGTTTTCTCCTCATTCTCTCTTCTTATTCTGGAACCTCTATAATGTGAAAATTAGTATGCTTGATGTTTTCTCATAAGTCCTTTAAGCTATCTTTATTCTAGTTTCTTTTTGCTCCTCTAATTGGATGAATTCCACTGCCCTGTCATTAAGTTCTCTGATTCTATCTTTCACTTCATCTAATCTTCTGTCGAACTCCTCAATTGAATTTTCAGTTTAATTATTGTATTCTTCAACTCAGTAATTTCTTTTTGTTCCTCCCTAATCTTTTCTCTCTTTATTGAAATTCTCACTTTGTTATGCATTGTTTTCCTGACATTGGTAAGAATTTCTGACTATTATTTTGAACTCTATCAGGTAAATCACTTATCTCTGTTTCATTAAGGTCTGTTTCTGGAGTTTTATCTTGCCATTTGTTTGGAACATATTCCTCTATTTCTCCATTTTTCTTGACCCTCTGTACTGATTTCTGTGCATTAGATTAAACAGCCACCTCTTTCGGTCTTGACGAAGTGGTCTTATGTAAGAGAGTAACCTTATTGTCCACCCTGGCCTGAGCTCTTGGTCATATCTCTAACCTTTGTGATTGTTCAAGTAAACTTCTTTGTTCTTAGTGGCTCCAGTGATTAAGGGTGTGCCAAGATCCATTTTAATATGGGTATTTTCTCACTCACTCAATGTGTAGGAGTCATTCAGCTAGTTTTTGGATTCCTTTCAGAAGAAATTGGTCAGTATGTAGCCATAGATTTAGTGTATCTAGGAGAGGAGATGAGTTAAGGAACCTCCTATGTTGCCAACTTAAACCAGAACTTCAATAAAGCTTTTCTGAAGATAAGAAAGAAAACTGAACTTCCAAGCTGACAATTACAGTAAATTTTTTTCACTGTTTAAATAAGAGTGCCAGATAGCTTATTTTCATTTCCCAATTATATTACTAATAAAACAATAAGTATATGAGGTATGTACATATATATATTCAAAAATACAATACTTAGATTTTATTCAATTGTATTTCTTTATTTCAGAAACACCCAGAGGTCTCCTCAATTCTAATGTATTCTTACTTTTTCCATTATTGGGTCAACTAACAAATTTTCCTTAGTTCCCATTTTCCCCCACAAAATAAAAGAGAGAAATGTTTTAGAAAAGCATCAATTTGTTGTAAAAAAATTTATTTTCTTAACGTGAAAATAAGAATCTTCACTCTGAAGGGGCTATAGTTCTTCTTTCTCAAAATATTCTGTTTGGTGTACCTTTTAGCAAAAGTAAATGGCACAAAGACCATTATAAATAAATGATCTTATCAGGTTTTTATTTTTGTAAACATTTCTCTTCATGATTCACAGCCAGTGCGTCTCAATTTTTCCATTTTCATTTTTCCTCTTTCCAATGTGACTGTCATCATCAAATCTATTTGCCTCTGAATATTTACCTGCTCATAGCCCCTTTATTCCTTTCCTTATCTACTCATCTGGCTCTTCATTTCTCTCTACTGAGAAAGAATACTTCAAAAGCAGAAATTGTTAAGTTTAATAGAGTTATTGGCGTTCATAGACAACACAATGATTAAATACTATCTCTAATAAAAAAAAGACTCTCAGTAATTCCTAGAAATGGAAGAACACAAAATGTCAAACCATCATTGTTAGATCTACCTTCTTAATCTCCAATTAGGTAGTATTTACATAAAATACATGTTTTAAGATTTATACAATAAAAATTTAATATTTATAGTACTTATTTAATGTTTATGATATATTTACTAATTACATCATATATACTTTAGTATTTATATAATCCTTTTTTTAAAACATGAAAGAATACAAATATCAAATTTTATTTATATCAGTCTCTTTTGAGAGGCTGAAGGACAGTCAGCAGGAGAAAGGAGAAAGAGGAGACAGGCAGGACACTGCTCTGGGGAGGTGGCTGGAGTACACTGTGACTTAGTTGAGAATAATAAACAAGTTTCCCTTCAAATAAGAGCTGGGAGTAATATTTATATTTCACCTTGACTACCTACCTGACCTTTGGCACTCCCTGAAGAAGGAAGTTGGAGTATACGTATGAGTGTGTGTGTGTGTGTGTGTGTCTGTCTGTGTCTGTCTGTCTGTCTGTGCATCTACACACCAAAGAGGAGGAAGTAGAGAATGTACCAAGTAGAGAGTCAAAGGGAAAATGGTTTTTAAGAAATAAACCAACTCAGAGGAAAAATATAATTACTCATAGAGTTGAAATTAAAAGATACAAATGGTGTGATAACTTGTAAGACTATGCAAATGAAGTCATTACTGTTATTGTCTTTATATTGTGGATTATGTTGAAGCTTTATTTCTCATAAAGCCAGTTACTCTGCTAAGCAATGTTTATGTTCTCAATATGTGTAAGTTCCTTATATAAAGACGAGACTAACTTCTATACAAGTAATGAAATATGATTGGACTTAATCACAATCTCAGGCTAGCTTTATAAGACTGTTGAAATTGTGTAGTAGGCAGACTAATATGGCCCCGAAGATCTCAACATTTTAGTATTCATGTTCTTTTATTATTTCCTCCTCTTGAATGTTAACTGGACTTAGTGACTTGCTTCCAATGAATAAAATTACAGCAAAAGTCATGTGATGTCCTTGCGAGGTTTGATTGTAAAAGACTGTGGCTTCCATGTTGGGTGCTCTCTCTGACTCTCTCTTGGATTGCTTTCTCTCAGGAAAATCAGTTGCCATGGCCTGTGACAGCCCTGTGGAAAGACTCACATGAGTATGCGTGGAAGCAGATCTCCTAAGGTATGTCAACAGCTACAAGAGTGAACTTGGAAGCAGATCCTTTTTTTTTTTTTTTTAA